GGAAGTTTTTGTTCTGGACCTCCCGCCAACTTCCATCCTGGAGACAGGAATGCGTCCGAGGGACAATCCAAATGAAAATCCAGCTTTCCATAATCCCACGATGACGTGGACGTAGGAGTTGCGATCGCGACCCCTACTTCTGCTTTGACAACCCAGTCGAACCAGAAAAAGCGTGCCCTTCGACAAGGCGTTATGCCTAGAGCATCCACTTGATAAGGCAGCAAGCCAATGGATTTAGTCATGCGTGCTCTGTATTCATCTGGCATCGAGGAAACACTGTCCAGCATGACATGAACCTTTGCCCAAGAGAAGTGTTTTGCAAGCAACTCACGGATCCTGTTGCAGGTTTCGTGAAACCTTGCATGTGCATCCTGAGCGTTCAGGCCTGAAATCCCTTGACAAGGGGGACCCCCCGCTAGCAGGATGAGCCCAGCCCTCGAAAACTTGCAGGCCCAACGACGCACTGTGTCATCTGTAACATCTTGCACTCCATCAACAAACTCAGTGGACCCAAATGCTGATTCCACCACGCGCCTGGCGGCAGCATCCGGTTCGATGGACACATAGCCAGCCACCTGGGCCCCCACCACATCCAGGGCTACACGGCACGCTGCAATGCCATCAAACACCGAAACAACCAGGACCTGCTCATCATCCGGAGTTCTATGAGTTACCCCTCTAACTGGCTTCAATGAGGCTGCTGCCCCAAACGGTGTCAAGCCGCTTGTGTACGACAAACCTCCACCCGATTCTGATGCATCACTGGCCGTGGCCATTGCATCATAGGGAGCTCGAAGGTTCATCATTGCCAAAGGGGTTAACGACATGCTGCAAAAGAGTTCCTGTTTGACTGCCTGTGGGATTTCCTTCCATTGGTGGAGGTGACCCTCAAAAGATGCAATGAACCTCCAAACCTCGTTAAGGCAGCTCATCAAGCATCTCCGGTAGCTGAAGATGTACACCAGGCCTCCCGCTACAGTTTGAATCCTTTTGAGGTCTGTTTGCCGGCATTGCAAAAGGTACCACGCGCCTCGGAGGTAACGAGCTATCTTATCCGGTTTAGGTGAAATCGTACCTTGCACCCCATCTACCAATGCTCCTTGCATCTCACCCCGCAGCCCGGATTTTACAGATTTCTTTTCGTTGATTGGAACTTTCAACTCCTCATACACTTGCCTAAGTTCGGACGCCAAGGGGCCCAGCTGTCCTTCAAGGAGAAGAGAGGCCTCCCGATTTGTTTTTGCAAGCACATCGAAGTTGTCTAAATAGACGCGATAAGCGGTCGCACTAGAGGGAAGCGGTTGATCACGACGGATTTCGGCATCTCGGTTTATGCCAAACCTATCAACTGCGCAATTGACGATCTCTCGGTGCAACGCTTGAGCGACTGCAACGGAATTTATGAAGCCCATTGGAAGCACACGGCTGCACAGCACGCAGGGCCCTGCTCCTGGTATAGCAAGGCTTGACGGAACCTCCCTCCCGAAGGCTAGGAGGGGACGCCACACTTCGGGCAAACCTACGATGTAAAACATGGCTTTTATGTCCTCCGAAGACAAGAGGACATTCTCTTCCGTGAACACTTCTAAGGGGAAGAGTTGGCTAAGCATGGGAAGGGTTCCCAAGTCTCCAGCAATGGATTCAAAGCATTGGTTGATGGGTCGAAGGTCCATTATGAGACGCAACACTGGAACCCCATCTGCCTCCTCCATTTTGGGAACGCCAAAAAGGCCGCCCAGGATGGGTTTGCCATCCACATGCAGAACCTCACTGACAGGAATTACATCACAAACTCCTCTCTCCACAAGGCCTGCGCAAACCTCTTCCCACTGATCCTCCTTAACCATGACCCTCGGGCATTTCATCCATGTTCGCGTGGCCTCTGGCTTGAGATATTTTTCAGGGTGCATCAGAAAATCTTTGACACCACCTGTTGAAACCTCAGCCCCATCAAGAATCCCCGCCACATCTTTGCTGGGCAAGCTGTGTTTCACGTTGGCCCACGCAAAATAAGACGCAGAATGAATCTCTTCACCATAGCCGTTCACGCTGCGACTTTTCCAATAGTCCTCAATCGGAACCTGATCAAAGTCTTGTTCACTCCAACGCCCCACCTGATGAAGGTTTGAGCTTAAGATTTGCAACAAAAACGACTGTCGCTCGCTTGGGGTTGACTTAGGCTCGTCAAGTCTTCCTACTGCAAGCCAGTTGAGGGCTTTCACAGCTGCCCGCAACCATTCGCAATGCTCTGAGAGGGCATCCCTCTCAGGCACAGGCAAAGGAAAGACCTCTGCCGAGCGTGAATGCTTGCCTGGGCCTAAACCCGTGTGCCCTGAATCTGTCAGGTTTAGTGAGTCAACCCAATCATTTAACAATCCCCCTAATTGGCTCACCGGACCGGCCAAATCGAAAGGCAACAAAGAGGAGGCCCCTTCCCGCCGAGCAGGAGGTTCCCTCACTTCTGCGCACAGAACACGAGACTCAACGCAGGAAGGACTTG